CGAAAAAAAGTTTTCTCCTCGGGTGGCGGCGGGGGGGGGGGGGGGGAATGACCGCATTGTAATCACATCTCCTCATACGGATTATGTATATCAAATGAAAATGTAAAGTGCGGTCAGAGGAGAATACAATCTGTAATTGGGGGACGTGCGGTGACTTTCACGTCTGTTTGGTACGTCTCTGCTCGGTACATCTTACCTGACGCGGTGATAGGACGGGATGTCTGCTCTGTAACTCGGACTCTGACCGTTCTATTTTATCTTGTAGGATTACTCCCAGCTGCCCAAAGCGGACATATTCGCCCTGGCGCTGACCGTCTGGTGCGCTGGCGGTACCGAGCCTCTCCCATCCAATGGAGACCAGTGGCATGAAATCAGACAAGGCAAACTGCCCACCGTGCCGCAAGTGCTGTCCCAGGAGCTGATGGATCTAATGAAGGTAAATGTGGCAGATCCGTCTGTTGTGTGGAAGCTTCGTCACCTTGCCTGGCGTTTCCTCTCTTTAGAACTACTTATGTTCACGGCACCAGGCTGGACTTGTCTTCCATTGGGTATTGGATTGTGGGGAGGAGACCCGGAGAAGTTTACTTATACATTCTATAGCTACCCGCGTGTGTGTTTTTATAGTGTGGGCGTAAAACAGTTGTGGTCAACTTTCTTGATATAGGGGTCCTTAAAGGAGAACCATGGGGTCGGGGCTTTTCCCCATAGTTCTCCTTAGGGTAACGGGAGGACACAAACTAGCGTCTTCCCGTCACCCTAGGCTCAGTATATAGGGAGCGACAGCTCGCGGTATGCTGAGACGCTGAAGCGGATCCCAACGATTGTCTGGATCCACCCAGCTGCGTGAGTGACAGCTGGCTCTGCCTATCTAGAGGCAGAGCCAGCTGTACCCTCCCCCGTCCGTTCCACCAGTCGGCGCTGGAGGATCGGGGAGGGGGGAATCCTGTCACGGCTCTCTGCAGGGAGATGATCGAGAAGTGAGCGAACGCCGGTATGTGTTCTCTCACCTCCCTATCTACTGAGCCGACCTGTCAGTCTCATTGTCACAGGTCGGCTCGAACTATGAGTGAAAAGAGCCCCCCCCCCCCCCAATTTCCCTTTTTGGTGTGCGCCCCG